GAGAGACCTCATACACATAAATAATAAAACTGGCTTCATTTGCTCGAGGAAGAATGAAGATATTGAGAACCAAAATGACAAGCGTAGATAGGATGAGTGACATTGTGGATATATGAAACGCCCTTTTCGACCAGGAGGAATTGGATATCTGCAATACATGTACAGTCTGGCTATTAAATGTTAAACGGACCATGGGACGTAGGATGCTGCTCTCCTAACTCAACTTTTAGCCCAAAAACATTCGGAGCGCTCATGCAAACAACTTGAAATTCAGCATCGCACTTGCTTGGCATCCTAAGCAATACACCTGCCGAGTGTGAAGTGGATACGATGAACAGCTGATGAGAAAGTGACAGACAGCCTCACACACAGACATACAGACACTGATTCCTTCATGTGTTAACAGAGATTTAGTTCTATTAATGGCGGATGCAGAATACATTAAGAAGACACGTTGGAGGACACTGAAATCAAAGACGCCGCCACCAGTGTCTAAGTGGTATGAGCTGGCCATGGAGAGCCCTTTGGGGCCGACACCCTGCCGGAACAGATTGGCTCTTGTGTGGCTCCATGCGAGAGCTTCGTGGGATCATTGCTCCACAGCTGGTTGGCTTAGCCTCTGGGGATGGAGATGACATCTGCATCTGCACATTAACTACATCCTCTTTTCTCCAATGCCTCGAGTGTTCCATCCTCAGAGAGCGTGCGTCGCAGAGAACGTACGAAGTCATCGTTTGTGTTCCACGAAATCAAAGCTGAAAGGTTCTCTGGAAGCAATTTGCGCAACAAGTACTAAACGGTGATCCTTTCTCCAATTCCCCATCGCTAAAAGCCTCTGATAAAATAACTTCGAGCAAAGTGCTTTGTTCTGGCGGCACATGTGGACAAGAGATTATGAATGGGCGATGCTCTCCAGTTTCACTTTCCTCTTTGACCGGAGAGAGGAACTCACTGAGGGAGGATCTGGGTATCCTCTTCTGGGAGATTATGGAGGTTATTTCTGGATTTCCTCCTGAGGACAACAGGTAGGAAAAAGTTTAGACTCCAACTGTTTTCTGGGTCTCGGGGAAAGTAGGTCTACTTGTAGTGAACACCATTGCTTTCATGTCTCTGCGAGAAAAAAAAGGCAGCGTTTAGCCCCGAAAGCTCAACCAGGAGATGTTCACAGTGTTTAGTTGAGGGATTACCTTTTACAGCTATGTAAAAGAAAAGGAGTCTCATCCCAACAGGAGTCGTACATTTACAGATGCAAAGTAAAACCGGCATGTTCTGGATGTGACCCACCTGCCTTTAGGAAAGCCCAACACACAATACCGCTGAAATAAAAGAAACCTGACTTGGAGTGCAGAAATAAGCAGAAAAACCAGCTGAATGGGCTCCTGTGTAGGAACACAGAGCGGCTGAGCTACACATTCTGGTGACGCTTTTTTTTAAAAAAGAAAACCAAACCAGCAGCCATTTTGGTGACACTGCAGCGACAACCAACACGAGTGAAAAGCAACAAACAAGCGATTCAACCGTGCCCGCTGCATAAGCAATACCTGCTGTGTCTCTTTGCGGAGAGTCAAACCCTAATGTGTCTGCATTCGATGTTTCTGCTTTAACAATGGATCCCACGATGTCTTGAATGGGAAAAAGGGTCACTTGTTGTGATCGTCCCACATATGATTACCATCACTCTAGTTCTGGTTCACTCTTACTCCCACAGCAGGTAGCTCCTTTTTAACAAATAAACCCTCAACACTCCCTGCTTTGCACCAAACAGCAGACAGACACACTAGCTGGTGAATGTAGCAGCTGAAAAAACAGATATTTCCCTTAGGAATTTGCAGACAGCCAAATACAACTAAAAGCGGAGTAGACATAACATTAACGTTGCCCATTTCACTAATACCTTTGCCTCTTTATTGGGTCCAGCTGGATAAAACTAATGCATTCTCATACAACGATTCTGCAGCAGTCCTCGATACGACTGCATGATCACTGTGAGGATGTGATTTGTGTAACTTTCTCCTCTGCTGCCACTATCTCACTATGGGAAACAACAACAACCTTAAATCACCTCCACGATATAAATGTTTTGACGAGCATCTCGCAGTGAGGCACAACTCCCCCATCACTATTATGATTGAACACCCTCGCTTAGCTCCTCCCAAGGCGATCGTGATTGGTTTAGGGAAATGCAAACAGGCCTGGGTGTTTTCCCTCCCTGCATGAATGATGATGAGGTCCTACGCAAGATTACAAGGGACAGATTTAGGTGAGCTGGTCCCCCTACAGGATGTGTTGTAATGGGAAGATCATCTACGGCACAGATGTGTTGGTGAAAAATGACAATCTGTGCTACCCTGCAGACTTCTGTTATGAGCAGGTCTTGGTCAAACCAAGGCCAAACAATGACTTGGTGGTGGGATGTACCAGAATAGCAACAGCAGTGTCAGAATTCTGCCTTATCAGCCACACTGGTATAACCCCGCTAACTGCGTCCTAACTCGGAATCAGGAGGATGAGCCATTGCCACTCAAGCCAAAAATAAACATTGTCCTTAACATGACATATCCTCTGTCTCAAGAGCACCCCAGAGGGAGTCACGCCAGTATAAGGTTAAGGTAAGGTAACAACAAAAGCAAATTTGTTGTCCACAGTTAGGGTCAAGGTTAGAAAAGCAAGTGGAATTTTCCTCTACATGCATGTGTTTCCCCCCATCAGTCAGTAACTTTACTAAATCATTAGTTGAAGTTTATGACTTTAAGCAAAAATATTTTTCCACAGACTCCAAGAATATAAAGTTGTAATAAAGTCGTAACATCTAAACCAGTTGTTTTCGAGGAAAGCTGTTAAAATGAAGTCTGTGGAGCATTTCGTCAAGTCCAGCATCGGTTTCACAAACCAAACTCATGTCAGGGTCACCAAGTCGATAAAAAGAGAGACCAGGGTTGAGCTTTAGTCTCTGTTCCTTTATCTGACTTCCACTTACAGCACTCACGGTTCAAAGCCTTTCATACAACATCCGCTTTCCCACAACCTGGAAAACATTATCCCTGTTCCCTTCAAAGTAATAGCGTCCTTTGTGTGTGAGACTTACAGACTTCGTGTACAGCACAATGCTTCATCTTCTGGCGCATCAGCACCACGTTATTATTATTAGTATCGGGACTTTGAAAGGAATCTGCAAGAAAATGAAGTCTTTCTTCAGAATAGATTTCCTGGTTTGAATGTTACGACTTTATTCTTGTAAAATCCCAACTTTTTTTCTTGTAAAAAACTTTATTCTCGTACTGTTCCGACTTTATTCTCAAAGTCTGCGGAAAAATATGTTTCCTAATGTGGCCCTAATGCTCATTTTCTCAAATAAAATCAAACAAATAAAGAAAAAATATCCATAGCTTTAAACAACGTTGACATTCTGAAACGATTCACCAGACCACATCCAACATTGACTTTCTAAAAGTCAGATCTCAGCATCACACGATCCAAAGTACAACATTTGATATTTTAAAAGTGAAACATAATTGACTGTCTGCTCAGTACGTTTGCTGGCAGCGAGCCCAGCGTCTACGATTCAAATCATCCACTGAAACGGGATTTGAGAGGCAATTTAAGCTCTAAATTAGAATAATTAGAATATATGTCACGAGATCCCCGGTAGACCTCTTTAGGAAACGTTTAGCATTGTGAGAACTGGAACAAATATTTACCCACATGCCGCTGACACTTTCGTCAGACGACTCAGGGCCCACCGAGCTGCCTGAAGTGTTTATTAATGTCAATTGTACAGTGGTGATAATTTAAGATTTAACACTTTTTTTAATCTATTTTTTTCCTGTGTGTGTGTACTGTGGGTTTCAGCATTTACAGAGGCTTCAAAACTGACAAAAAATTACAACTTTTTCTAAGATAAGAAAGTTGCAAAATACATTTCTATGTTAAAGAGCTGCACATTTTTAATGGGTTTTCTCTGTGTTAAGCATGAATAGTCTAAGCTGGGCTAAATTATTCCCAAACATGATGCTTTAAAGCCCCCCGTCTTACAGCAACGCATGCACCAAACACCTGCAGTGACCTCAGAGCTTCTCCGCAGAGGTCAGACCCACCAGGGTGAACCCCACCATGTAGAAGTATCTGGGTTATCGAGGCTTTCCACAGCCAAAGCCCAGCAGAGTGTTTGTTGTAGTGATGTATGATGTTCGCACTTCCTCTTATTTATTTATTTCCTTCAACAGCAGCTCTGCGACAGCCTTGGGTGTGTAGCTCTCTTGGAGACTGGAACAGCTGCCAACAGATATCTCCATTCTCTAGATTAGGCCGCGAAATAATAATAAAAAAATAAAAAAGCGCCGCTCCTACACCGGCAGTATTTTAATGTCAGAATATTTCCACATTGTTACCGTCGGCGGTTACATTCAAACCAGCGCCAGCTTATTGTGCTGTCAGTCACTCTGGGATTAATGTCGACTCCTTGTTCGAACGTTCCTTTTAGCACAATTATTTCAGCTTCTCTTCATCCTACCTCATATGCGATGATCTTCTCGCTGCTGGACCTCGGGGGTGGGATCGGCTCCCAGTACACTTCGATCTCAGAGGCTGACACGGCTCGGGCCCAGACCCTCGACGGGGCCTCGGAGGGCTCTAAATGGCGATGGATCATGAATTATGCATCTTTGCAATAAAGGCATGCGTTTTCGAGAATCACCACGATCAACTACACGCTCACCTTCCTCTGCGGAAAACACTCTGGCAACGCGGCTGAACGGCCCCTCGCCCACGCTGTTGTAGACGCCCACCGTCACCTCGAACTGCGACAGGGGCGCGACGCTCTCGTTTCTGTAAATATATCTGGATGCATCAGGTGACGCCAGCACTGTCTGGATCCAGGTGCTGCTGCCAAGCGGGCGGAAAGCCACAACATAGCCAAAGTCCTCTCCGCTCTGCTGTTCCTCTGGAACCGGCTGCGACGGGGACAGAAAAAAAAAGTTACGCCTTTGACCCAAACAACTGTGAGCAGAAATTAAATTAGGGAGCAAAGCAGAAATAGTGTTTTATGTCTTAACAAACTGTGGAACAAATGCACCGATACAGCACCTTCTCTGCTCTTTGGTGCACGTCCAAAAAATGTAAAGTTGTCACCCGCCTCTAGATTTACACATATGAAATTTTGGACTCGCCCCGTATCTTCGTTTTGATTTACACAACAGGGGGGAGTCGGCGGGCAGCTAAATCAGAAAAAGCCCGGGCCTTTAATTAAAAGCCATTCCACTGAAGCCAGACCACTGCAGACACAGTAACTCTGCCACAATTCCATTCTCATCAAAAGAAGAATACTCTGTCACAATGAATGCCCACTCAAAAAGTGCCCATGATCCTCTTACCTCCCACATAATAACAAGTTCTCCTCGAGTTCCTCCACCACCGCTCACGTTAACTGGTGCAACCTTGGGAACTAAACAGACACAAAGGGAACTTATTCACTGCTTTTTTTTTTTTGGCTGTCTGCTGCAGGTGTAGAACATTCTGCTTAAACCTCACAGCTTTGGATATTATGCAGAGCTTCTTATTTACACAAAAGGGGTTAATAATGCAGGGGAGGAATTTGTTTCTGCTGATAGCGGCGTTGCAGCGCCCGCTCACGGTGCCGTTATTAGCCGAGCACCGCGTGTCAGCCCCATGCGTGGAGCACAACGGGAAACTTGTTCCCTTGTGATTGAATCAGCGGGATGGAATTACTCAGCTAACCAGCTCCACAAAAAAAAAAAAGAGACACTTTCATGTCGTTGCTTCGTGGCATGTGCGAATAGGTTACACTTTTCTGTTGATGCAGCCATTAATTAATCCTGACACATGTTCCTGAGTGCCAGCTTAGCGTTAATACTTACATGTTTAAAAAAAAAAAGAGCAATTCAATTTTCACTTATGTCGCACGTGACCGAGGAATCAAAGCATGAAAGCCAAGCACAGATTTGAAACATCACAGGGAAAGCGCAGCTAATCAAACGGTTAAATTACACTGTCCAAGTGGGACTGATTAATTTGTTATGAAGTGAAACAACAAAAATCGAGAGGGTACCTGCTGCTTTGGTTCGAATCTGTTTTGACGGCGTGCTGGGTTCTCCGACACCAACACTGTTGATTGCCACCACCCTGAATTCATAATCCACCCAGGGGTTCAAGTCTTTCACCGTTGCATGCATCATCTGTCCAGGCACAGAATCAGGAACTAGGATTAAAGAATTTAGAATTGAGATGTGTTGTATTTTTGTTTTATTGAGGCACATTTCACATTTGGTCTCCAACAAACAAACATTTCAAAAACCAGTGAAGTACATCAAACTGAAATGATGACATTTGTAAATCTTTTAACACTATTCCAATTACAGGATGTCAGCGGTCCAGCAACTCCACACGCTCTGTAATTATTCTGGATGTTGCACGGTAATATCTGAATCTCACAATGCAATTTTAAACACAAATGCAATTAAATAAATGGAGCTGTCAGACAGGGTGGCTTCAGTTAAATGTGACTGACACGAGCGAGTCGAACGTCGCCCTGCAGTCGGTTTGTCGAATCTGTTTCCTGTTGGTAGTCTGACACCGAGGTTGAGGTTGCAGAAGGGAGAATTAATTTGGGTCTGAGGAAAATAAGCCGCTAAGTAGTTTGGATTATGAAGAATATTACAACAAGGCAGATATTTAAAAAAAACTTTGCTTGAAATGTGCATTAACAACTAAAAGACCTATACAGGTAAACAAATTAAAATAATCAGGATTTAAGAGAATTAAGGCCATAAAGCATTAAAAAAGGAGGTTTTAATAAGCTGGAATAAAAGCTTCTAATGCCACGTAGAGAAAACACCACGTACCCAAAGCATCAAATATTAAATTATGTTTTCCCTGCTGACATGGTGTAAAAAAAAAAGGGACTATTATAAGCTTTGATAATTTAATTTATTGAAGGGTTGTTGTGCTAAATTGCAGCAGTTAATTTGAAATTGCTGATTGTTGTATCCCAGAACAAAGACGGCTCAGAGTGCAGAAGATGGCTAATGGGTCCCTCCTAACAAACTAAAAAAAGAAGTTATTACATGTTAATACTCCTACATCCTACAATCTGTCCACGTATAGCAACTGTTTGACTGATTAGTTCAATAACCTGCTGCAGTATTCAAACACCTACATGTGTTTTATTATCATTATGCTTTTCAGTAGATATGCTTCTTGTAACTTTGCATTTCTTCGCAAAGGGTCACTCGAACAAACCAAAGTCGTCTGTGGCTCTATCTCAGGGTTATCTCAGGTTGGGCCTGAACAGTCAGATCTTTAACAGAAGTGCTGTTATATACTCGGACAGTTGGAGTTTGAAGGATGAAGGTGTTCATCAGGCAGGAAGGCTGAACTCTGGGTTAGAACGGAGAATCCACTGGGTTTGAAGCTTGATTGTTTTTGGGGGGATATCTTGAAATTTGATGATCCGTTTTTGTTGAAATCTCTCTGTTGTAAATTTAAATGTATTTATTTATTTTTAACCACGACGTTGCAGCTATTCCATCTTCATGACAAGATAGTTAACCCTTTAGTTCAGCCCATGAAGAAATACAGTGGAGTAGAAAAGATGACGATAAGGAAGAAATAGAAAACAGTAACATACTTAATAATAATAATAATGATAATGAAAGAAATACATGAAGATTTTCAGGTAGTGTCCAACAATACAAGAGGAAGACACTTTGTGGAAGATTGAAGAAATTTTACAAACACTAGAATATTCGCTAAGAGTTTTCTTTTTGTCTAAATTGCTGTCAAACTGTTAAATATGACGGGTTCTCAGGCGGGCTTCAGTTTAAACATATGTTATGGCTGCCGGCCCTTCCTTCTTTGTTGTGTCTTTTTCTGTTTTTGTATTTTTTGTATTTAAGTTAAAGAGCACCGTTATGCCCTATTTCCTCAGTTTTTTGTGTCACCAACTCCTGTAAATAAATAATTGTTACTTTTAAAACCAAATACATCTGGTTCTGTTACTTAACAACATATTACACACTGTATTAGATATTAGACGATTTTTTTCATCTCCATTGTCGTCTATATGCTTACTCGTAGAGAAACTTTGAGTTTTCCATGTAAACTTTAAATTCTAAGTTAAAGTTATTTGTATAAAACACTGTAGCCTTCACCTTTAGGTCAGTCAGGCTCATTTGCTCTATATGTAATACTGTTGGGTCCTAACTTTAATTTTTTAATCTAATCAGATACATTTACATAATGAATAACATCACAAGGTCCTAACCTTTATATTTAAACTTGCTAATACTTAACACTTCATATATTTCTCTACTCAAGAGCACTTTGGCTGTTGTTTTACAAGTGCTACATGAATAATGGTGACTTGATTGACTTGACATTTGTCAACTTCAGGAAAAAAAAAAGGTCTTTTTAAATTTTCTGTAGGCGCAGATGAGCTATTGACAGCTCGCTTCATACCTCCACTCATTAGAGGAGTTTTTCTTTTATACATGCTCTGAGAAACACCCTAACGTCTCCTAAATGATCTCAGATTCACATATTACCGTGCAAATCTTCAGCATTGTCACAAAATCAAAGTTGTTACCTGTCCTCACAGTCTGCCAGCCGATGGAGAAGGGAGTCCTGGCCTGCACCATGTACATGGTGACGGGGCTGTGGTTGTCAGTTCCAGAGCTCCACGACAGCTGCACGGTGGTGTCAGTGATGTCGCTTACCACCAGGCCCTCCGGAGCTCCGGGGGGTCCTGCAATATCCAGAGATAAGAAGAGAGACACCTGCATCAGCATCGATGCACGACAACAACAACAAAAAAAAATGTTCAGGTTACTTCTTCCACAACTCCGCTAACAACCACAGCTCAGGGATACAGGAGGTATAATGGCTTCTACTGGGAGCACTTAATAGTGTAGTTCAGCAGGTTGGATCATCGACTGGATCCGTTTATTTTGACATACGGCTGCATTGTTTCAGCTTAACTTGCTTTATTAAACAGCATTATTATGTCCCTGGTCACTCAGATGGAAAATAGAAGCTCTATCCAACCAAGATCCTCAGTAGATTGTTGCAATATAAACCTAATATATGAACCTGATGTAATCTGGTAATAGCACTGTTGCCTCGCAGCTAGAAGGTTGCTGGTTCACGTCCCGGTGGGGGGAGTTTGGTGATCATTAGTGAGACTGTATAAAAAACTAAAAGACATGCAAAAAGTCACTTACAAGAAAAAAAAATACAATTAAATCCAATTTATCAATCAATCAATCAATCAATCAATCAATCAGTCAATCAATCAATCAATCTTTATTTGTATTGCACTTTTCATACAAAGAAAGCAACACAAAATGCTTTACAATCATTAAAAACATTAAAAACAAGAAAACTCGTCCCTCCATATATACATATACACACACACACACACACACACTCTCACCACTGACAGTAGGGACACATGACATGGCACTGAGGATTGTGGGAAACGCTCCCACTGGGGGCGTCCACACTGGGAGGAGCAGCAGGCTATGACCGCCGGGTTACCGGCACCCAGACCCCCCCTCCAACCCCGACAGACAGGAGGACCCCCACACCGAGGTGGGGAGCCCCCCAACCAGCCGGGCCAAAGGGACCCACGGACCCCAGCAGCAGACCGGATACAGCCCCCAGTGTGGAGGACCCCCCCCCCGCAAGGAAACACTGGAGCTAAGAAGAAAAACTTTGATAAAAGGCCTGATGAGTAAAAATAAGGAAAGAAAGTTAAAAGAAGAAAAAATACACAATAAAATTTAATAGAAAAGAACATAATGAGATCACCAATTAACGAGTTTGGGTGATTTTTAATCACTTTATAACCCAGATAAGATTGACTCGTGATGTGTTGTTGCATCAGCTGTTACTTTCAGGTCTATTAGCGTTAGAGTTGCTGCCATCTCTTGCTCTTTGTCAGGATGACAGCTGGTGAACTTTTGTTTTTCATTTAAAATGATAAACTGAAGTAACGTCAAGGCTGATAACATTATGGCTGTAAATGCTGTGTTTATCTAATCGGCTGTATGAAGGTTGCAAAAGCTTATTTTGGTATATTTTAAAAGCAGCAGTCAAATATTAGTTAGCACTTCCTGAAGGAGTACATGTTTTGTTTAAATTTCTGCTTGTGATGTTAGTTGTTATACATACTGTGATAAAGGATTTAAAAAATGGGAACTTTGAACTCATTTCAAAGTGTGATTTGTACATTTTTGACTATAGGAGCTTGTGTACCGTAATGTCTGGAATATTGAGGCACCTGAATTTAAGCCACTAACTTTAAAAAGAAAACAAGTTTGTACATATATATGCTGCACTTGTCTATAAGCTGCAGGTGTCCACGTTGTAACATGAGATATTTACACAGAAACATTTTTTAAAATTTTTAATTAAATACATACCGGTAACATACACAAATATGTACCGTAAATGCTTTTTTTCTGAACAGTTCCTGTAACACGTCTGGTTAAAAAAAAAAAAAATACAGCAGCCTACCATGAAAAGTCATTGATCGCTATCTTCATCTTCCTCCTGCACTAAAACTATTAAAGTCGTCTTCTTCAGTGTCGGAACTAAACAGCCTCACAATTACTTGGTCACACACTTCCTCAGTCTCTCTCGAAGTCACTTTCGTCTCGCGGCAAATTCGTAAAACTTGTAAAAATCCATAAATTAGCCACATCATCGTTTAATCCGCAGTGTTCAAAGCGTGTGAAAAAAATAGGAGCTTATAGTCCAGAATTTACGGTAAATGGGTTACACACATACATAAAAAGCATCTTAATTTTTATGCCATGGTAACTAAACTTAGCTGACATATAGGTTGAACAGAACACAAGGAAAACACCAGTTCCCTTCAAAGTAGATACACTCACATCATTACAACCGGGCATGTTTAAGTACTGCAGCCAGTGTGGCTTCGGCTCAGGTGCTAAAGTGGTTTGCAAAGTGCTTTTTAGAACCGCAAAGGTTAATAATGTGAAATAATAAGTGCAGACCATTTAAATATTTAATTAAAAACTGCAATTTAGATGGAACCCCTGCACTTTCTGCATAAGCAGCATGAATCCTGTTTACTTCCTAATTGTAATAATTAGGCTGCAGAAGAAAAATGACATAAATCAAAGTACTACTGAAAGACATAAACGACTGGTGGTAATGGGACATGTTATAGGGTTTTTTTTCTTTTTCATATGAATATAAACAGTTCTGTGATTTTGAACAGCGGAGAAAAAAATGTAAAATGTGAGAAAGTCACTGAATATTTTCCTTCATGACTTAATTAAACTTAATTTTCCATCCATAGTGATCATTTATTGTGGCCACTACAGACACTACCCATCTGTAATCCCATTGGGCTGTTTAAACTAATACGTAGTGCTAATATAAGCAGCGTATGAGCTTCTTTTGCTCACTAAGCATTTCCTCTTCCTCTGTGTGGGCGTGGTTTGGCTGTTTGTGTTTATATGCATGTTGTGCAGCAGACACAGTGGGACGACTGTATAGGAAATGTGTGTATTTAAATCGACCATATGCTGTCCTGTGAGGACGGTAAAGACGTACAGAAGATAAACATGTTCTGTTTATGGAGCCTGGTGTAACCAAGGAAAAAGGAAGACAACATTAATGACATGGGATTTGATATAAAATAAATAAAAAATCAATTTAGACAAACAGGATGGGACTTAAATAACTGACATGAGCAGTCCTGTCAGTCTAGTGTAGCTCTGTGCCCTCAGTGGAAAATAAACAACTGCTGGAAGTTGGTTTCTGATCACGCATGCAAACATACAACCCGTATGGAAAAGCCGCCCAGCCTTTGTTAGCCGCTAATCTGAAGCTCCCAGACAACAGCACAACTTTCCTACTTGGTAATAAAGTTTACTCATTATTCAGAAACCCTGGCCTGAACTTTCTCTCTCAATTTGATTATGTGTTTCCATTTAACTGGCTGTGATTATGACTGACTGTGTGAATGGTATCAGTGTGGCTGGCTGAGGGCGCCACACTCTCCTCCAATTTATATTCCATGGCTAGTTTTTTTTTTTTTTTTTGGTGCCTTTGTGAATGAATGCCAAAAGCAGGTGTGCTTTGTTGTGGAGCCTCACATTTTTTTTATTGGCACAGTCTTCGTGTTTCCAGGTTAATTTTTTTTTGTCAGTGGTAGGTGTGAGTGTTTTGGGTTTATAATGGGAGGAAAAAAAAAACTAATAGGATGTGACTTTTTATCAGAAGTTCTCACAAGCTTTTAAACGTGAGACAAAATGAAACGTGCAAATCGGAATAATGGAACAGAATGAGGGACTGTTAATTGTGTTTTTTTTATTTTTAACTCAAAGATGAAGCTAAAAAAAAAACTGTTGAACAAAAAGGTTTCAAGGCAAATGAGCGACTGTTTATTGAATGTAATCAGATCATGTATTACAACTAATATCATTAAAACTTGCTTGATGACACATTTGTTTATTGGTTACACCGACATAAAAGCTGAACAAACACTGTCCAACCCGAAACGGATTTATAATATGACTGGATGATCCATCCATCCACTATCTATACACCGCTTAATCCTCACTCGAGTCATGGGGGGCTGGAGTCTATCCCAGCTGACTCAGGGCGAAGGCAGGGGACACCCTGGACAGGTCCATGCAAACCGGCGACCTTCTTGCTCTGTGGTTAGCACCGTTGCCTCGCAGCTAGGTACCCGTTTTGCATCCCGGTGAGGACATCCGGGATCTTTCTGCGTGGAGTTTGCATGTTCTCCCCGTGCAGCGTGGGTTCTCTCCGGGTTCTCCGGCTTCCTCCCACACAGTCCAAAAACATGTTGAGGTTAGTTGGTGATTGTAAATTGTCCGTAGGTGTGAATGTGAGTGTGCTTGGTTGTCTGTCTCTAAGTGTAGCCCTGTGATAGACTGGTGACCTGTCCAGGGTGTCCCCTGCCTTCACCCTGAGTCAGCTGGGATAGACTCCAGCCCCCCATGACCCTAGTGAGGATTAAGTGGTGTATAGATAATGGATGAATGGATGTTGCAAACCCCTGGATCTTAACTTTTACTTCCTACGTGCCAACACCGGTTTTTCCTTTCCCTGCAGAGTGAATGCATCCTCTTTCTTAGTCCTGCATGTTCCAACTCTAACCCATTACATTTAAGGTGAAGCTCCCCCTGTAAGTGCAACATGTCAGGCCAATAAAACCTTACAGTTGTAGCAGGAATTCCTAAAACTCCACCGTCTCTCTGACCCACTGCACGTCCTGTTGCCTGGAAGTAAATGAGATCACTGCAACTCCATTTGCTGTACTGCACATTTTACGACGAGAAAATAAACATCTGAGAAGCAGCGTGAGAAAGCATTTTAAATCTGACACCACAGAACGCCGGCTGACTGTCTCTCGCGGCACAGGTAAGGTGTTGACATTCATCATCTATTCATGAGTGAACCGAAGTGTTAGCTAACAGGAACACTGGCTATATTTATCCCAACTGCCAAACTGGAGGGGACGCTGCTATTTTGTTGAAGCCTTCAATTAAAAGTTCGCTCAATCAGATTCTGACTAATTATTTTTTTTGTTATACTAACAAATCCTAAGGAGCCTGATGGAGTTCACAACCTTCCCTGGCAGAACCCGAGAAGCACAATGAGAAAGACGCATTAGAAACAGCAACATTCACATACAGCTAGATGCTTAGACGTTAGGAGGATGCTGGAGAGATGGAGGGAATTACACGATCAGCGTTGTAGCCGACAGATCTACGGACCTCCTTGACGCTGTCGCCCATATTTTCTCCGCTGGTGTCGCTCCTCTTCAAGAAGTCTACCTCGCGACACGCACTTTTCTTAAACATAACCACGTAGTTAAGGTGCTTAAACCCAACCAAAGAGCAAACAAAACTTAAGTCACAACATGAAATAATGCTCTGACAGGGGACACAAGCCTCAGTCTCCTGGGAGAACCCACTGAGCCACCGCTGACAGTTGAGGCTCCGGGTTGCTGAGCAGAAGGTCGGCGTTTGAGCCCCGCCGCTGCCAAGCTGCCACTGTTGAGCAAGGCCCTTAACCCTAACCTGCTCCAGGGACACCTTATCACGGCTGACCCGGCGCTCTGACCCCCAACCGAGATATGCAAAAAAGGGAGAATTTCACGGTGCCGTAGTGTATTTGTGACAAATAAAGGCTTCTTTTTAAAGTGGAAAAAAAGCTCCTATCAGGGTTGAATGTTGACTCGAGTGGCACCAATGTGGAAAGACACCTTGTGGGTACCTGTGAGATGCCAGATGCTTGGACGAAGCAGCAGCTTTGAACGCTGTGGGTATTAGAGCAGGTGGTGTACCGTTGTGTTCCAACATCCAGTGTGGCTTGTGAAGAATACACGGGGTTGAATTAGCGAAAGAACTTTAATTCTTGCATGAAGATGGACAATTTTTTTTTAAAAAGACATCTATCTATCTGCTAAAGTCATCATAGGTATTTCACTGTTAACATTTAAACTGCATCAATCTGTTTTTTTTTATTTCTATTTTTATTTATTTACTAATTATTATTATTATTATTATTATCATTATTATTATTATTATACTTAAAGTCTATTTTAATCTTCTGCTTTTTTAAAAAAACTTTATTTTATGTTCACTTTATTCTATTGTACCCTGCATTTATTTACTTATTAATTTGACTTATTTACTATTATTACTATTATCCTCATTTTTAGCCTTGTGTTTATTGTTTTAGCCTCTATTTTCTTTATTCACTTGTTCGTTTTCCTTACTTGGATGTGGCATTTATTTTTTTATTTTATTTTATTATTTTTTAACCTGGTGTTGTTATATTAATTTTATTTATTTATTTTTTTAATATTTCTTTTTGCTAAATTGGACTAAATTTAAAAAAAAAAAAAAACAAACAAACAAAAAAATCTATTTATGCGCTGAAATCCTCATGGGTATTTTACTGTGAACATTTAAACTGTATCAGTCTGTTTCATTTATTATGATTATATTTAAAGTCTATTTTTATCTTCAGCTTATTTTTAAACTTTATTTATTTTATGTTAATTTTATTCTATTGTACCCTTCGTTTATTTGCTTATTAATTTTACTTATTGACTACTATTATTATCATATTTAGCCTTGTGTTCATGGTTTTAGCTTCTATTTCCTTTATTCCACTTTTTCCTTATTTGGATGTGGCTTTTTTTTTCTGGTGATGTACTGTTCTGGTACTAATTTATTTTGAAAATCTTTCTTTTTGCTAAAAAACTTAGTTTGCAAAGTGTTTTAATTCTTGCATGCAGATCTGATCTTTCTGAATCGCCCTACAGCTTTTTTTCTTTTATTTTATTACTAATGTACTTCCTTATTATCTCCTAAAGTGAAATGTAATGATCTCAGAGCCCGTGGGGTACCGACAGCATAATACTTCAATTTCAAACGGTTGTCAATCTGAAAGTCTAATAAAGCTGTTTTCCATGTTGTTGGTATTTTTTTTTTCTTTAATCCCCAGAAAGAAACGCCCGCAAAACCTCCACAGAACGCTCCACACAACGACACGTACCTCTGACAATTAAGTCTGCTGCTGCTGAAACTGTGTCGACTTCAGTGTGCACCATGCACACATACTTCCCAGAATGCTTCAGCTGAATGTTCCTCACCATCAGGTCACCTGCAAATCCCTACAGACAGAAACACATAAATATGAAAGTCCTGGAGAGAAGAAAAAAAATAAAACACCAAAAGCAGCAAAGCTAAAAAAAATAAATAAATATGGAAAATCCTCAGGAACACATTAAATTTTCTTTCTCAGTCATGTGCTGTAAATCCTCCACAAGAGAAGAAGAATTCACCACAGAGCAACCAGGAAGGAGGAAACATGACAGTCGAGCAAAACAAATTAATTCAGTTTTACATTGTGAGGAAGGCTACACAAAAATGACTTGTTTTGAAGCAGCTTTTTTTTCTTTTTCCTTTCCTTTGGATCAGTGTTTGTTGTGTTTACACTCAAAGTTCAGATGAATGACTTTAACGAGAATTTTCAGAGATGCTTTTTGCACTTGACTGCCGTGAACACACACACACTGGGGTATTTTTTTTCCTCCCAGCAAAACCTTCCCTTTGTAGTAGTAGTAATAAATAAATGCAATTTTAAACAGAAGTTGTGATTATGCTCGGTGCAGAAAATGTCAGCGCTGTGCTTCAAACTTGAGGACGGCCTGGTGTGCTGGAACCCAGAGGAAGCCCAGACCTTGTAATCAGAAACAATGTGCGCTCCTTTGTTGATTGATTTGCTCGTACGCTGAGAAACGCCATCCCGGGTTTTCTCCTCGGACACTTTTCACAGCCTAAACTGAAACCCTTCTTGCAGAGAATTAGATGAGAAGATTAGTTCGACTCGCATGTCTGAGAGTCGGGGAGACAATTGAGGCGTTCATTAAATTTTAACGTATACGAAGCTAGCAGGAGGTTAGCTTGGTTTAGCATAAGGCTCGTTGAGCATCACTAATGTCTCATTTTGTAGAAGCAAGATTATAATAAAACCAGCCCATAGCGTGTGTGTGGCTTTATTAGCTGTTGGCAAAACAAACATTTGCTACCTTTGGGCAAAGCCCAGCTAGCTGTTTCCCTTTT